ATCTCCGTGAGCTTCTTAATGGTCAGAATGGGTCAGTGACCTGAAATAGCCCGATTCAACTTTTTCAGGAATATACTGCCTGACGTAGCCTTTACCGTTGGTTCAAATGCAAAACTCAAAACACTTTTATATGATCTTGGTAACCATGCCTGCGAAAGATAAAAAGGCCACTTACCTAAAAGTAGCACCAGCGACCTTCTGCTTGGAACAGATATCTAGATTCTGGGGACACTTTGGACGCCAATTTGGAGTTTGACCGTTTTAACCTTGTTTGACACTTAGGTCATGACCCAGGAACCTCAAATTTTGACAAAAGTAACTTCACATACGATCCACACACAGTGTGAATTTGGTATCTCTAGTTTTGTTGGTTTTAGATCCCAGGAGGGTCAAATTGACCCCCACCCGAACGAAGAGTATTCAACCGGCCACCCGGCGTGTGTTAATCATCTATTTTCAGTCTTCATTGCTGGTCACGACTCAAGTGGTCAACAGCGTTGAAGTTAGGTTTTGTCTGGTTTTGTTCCATGTTTACCTTTCACCTTACCAGGACAGTGCTGATCAATAGATTGAAAACCGCTGAAAGATGACGTCAAAGAAACGCAGCTTAAAATGAATGTTACCGGAAGATTATCTCAAGCCAATCAGCTAACGATGCTAAGATTAATTTTTGGTTTTGTCGTTACCGCCTCAAGTAGGAGTGACAGCATGAGGTTAGTTTGGTGAGTGGGAACGACACTTAACTGACTACTCCTTCTGAACTGACGCTTCCATAGTTGAAGATGTCGAGATAGGCATCGCAAATGACGGAAAAGGATAACTGATAGTTTTTTTGTGTGTAGAAAATATCAATATTTAGTAAGTAGACTAATCTAAACAACGATTTATATTAACTGAATAATAAAATTTTAGAATTTTACAATTCTGTTAATATCGTGTTCAAAAGTCATCATTTGATGGCGTCTTGAAATGTCTGCACGACGCCATGGTTGCTGCCCACTGGCAGTGGCAGAGTTTCTTCTGTAGCGGACGGGGTGACTGACTTGTTTTACGTGCTACAAGGTGTTGGCAGTGGTTAATGCGTGTAAGTTTTTCGTTACGGCGTAATGTGTGCGAGTTTTGGGGTTTCTTTGTGCTGTTCTCGTACATCTTTCCGTGATAACATATCTCTTACTTGCATTTGCCATATCGGTAATGGTACTGTTCTTATAGGGAATGTTTCACGTTTGAAGATGTTGAAACAAGCATCAGATATGATGGAACAAGCACACTTATGACCACTGATATGCTTTTTAAGTGAAAAATTGCTTCAGACAGCACAATTTCCTGTTCAGTAAATGTGCTCTTCAATGCGTCGTGGTTTGACTATGTCATGACACCTTGCCCAACATTGATTGAGAGCTACTTGACAGTCATTACATCTGGAAGTCGCGCTCACAAACGTCAGATATGAAGGTCTTGATAATTATGTTTTTCGTGGCCTTAATCACCGCATGGTTTGTGGGATGCCTGCATTTTGTTGGTGTCGTTATGGCGTCATGTATGCCGAAGTGACTTTAAAATGCCCTTCTCGATATACCTTTACCCATTTTCACGGGCGTGTAGCCCACAAATTTGAGAGGTTTATATCTAAAGGACAGGATTGTGAACAGCACCGAAAGGTCTTCGACATGACCATTTCAGTTCAAAACCATCTATAAATGTTGAACACTCCCGAGGTACTCGATTTTTAGCCTCATGTCTGTCATAACCAGTGCCTGCGCCCAAGTGCCTGTGCTGCTCATCACAAAGTGCGATTCGTGATCATCTGCCCCTGCATCCCCTTTCTTCCCCAATCCTGCACCCTCGTGACACCCCGCTGTTCCACGACAGATTGCGTGCGGCTGCCACAAGCGGGCCGAAGTGGAGTGGTGAGGGGTGCAGTGCAGCTGGCCCTGGTGGAAGCGTCTGAGCGTCAAGCGTACCTTGCAGAGTCCTTGCGCAGGATTCGTTTAGGCGGTTGGGTCCAAGGCGCATGTAGTTCTGCCCTACCGCTATCCATTCTTTGACATCGTATAGTCGATAGTCAGTGGAATACAGTCCTTGCTCTTCGAAAGTGTGCGGGTCCAAATCACTAAAAATGCGCTAATAGCCATGTCATCGGCAGCTACATTTTGCACTCCACCGCTGCATCCCTTGGTGCTAAGTCACAGCAAACATGAATGCGTTGGTGGCAATTAAATATTCTGCGCCATAAGCGTGGCACAGCTAACGATGTGGGCCCTTTGGCGTGACGTTTCCTTGACGTCATTTATGCATGATTACTTCGCAATTAGGCGGCACCAAACAAGCTCGCGTGCGTCAGGCTCAGAAACAACAGGATTTAAAGCCTTGAAACTTGCATGGATGTGAGCTGCAGGAAATGCTTGTGGAATGCCTTTCTTAGTTCAAAACTCCATACAAATGTGCAGCAGTTTCCTGAGCCTCAATAGCGACTACTGAGCAACTGTGTTAACTTGAGGTCTTGAGGTTAACTTGGGGTGTTAACTTGTGAGGTCAAGGTAATAAGAGTAGTAAGATAACCATTGACTTTCGGTGTCACGTACTGGTGAACAGTCAATGTGGTTGGATACCGAGTTCAGAACCGGCAAGGTTCAGTCGTTGTAAGCCTTTTCAACAGCCGAAACGTAAGAAAAAGCTTACTGTGCGCACCAAAAAAAGAAGAAAAAAGCGAAATTGTTGAACACACTTTAATTACTCAAAAGCATGGCAGGTTGAAGCATCGTTTTTGGCCAATTTTTTGTAACCTGTAGTTTGTGTAACCGAGATCTCAGATGCTATTTCGAAACAAGTGATGACGGTCGTCAGGAGGTGATAAAAATACGATGGATGGTGGTTGTGTTGCATCGGCGCATCCACATGGTCGAAAAGGGAAACTATGTAATTTGACACAGAATGAGGCCAAGGTATCCAATGCAAAACATATGACGGAAATGAAGATCAGGAACATAGTCCAGTCGACACCTCTGTAACGTGTGCACCACCTCTCTTCTCTGTTCACTTAACGAGTGCAGCCACCTAATGTATTTTTGATATTTTTCAGTCTTGTTTTCAAGTCTGACATATCTATGAAACTCCGGCCAGAAATGTGCCTATACTTTTTGGAAAATAATAACACAGAAAATGAGTCAAAAGTGATATTCATGCCTCCCTGGTTTTTGTAAATGTGTTGTATGCCATTTCTTGTCGTAACCCGCTGTGCATTGACAAATCTAAATTATAACTTTTGAAAAATAGATTTCAGTGGGCATGCAGTGCTCTGCGTTTTTCTCACGTCAATCAGATGAGATTATATCAGCGATGGGACCTCAGAGGACCCCAGCAGGTCAATGAAATAAGCTGTTTAAGCTTCTCTTTAAGGGGAATGCGCTCATTTAAGCCAGCACGTAAGGCGCCAGACGGAGCGCATGGCGCCCGGTGTTCAGGGTGGATCTCCTCTCCAAGGCGTGAGAATGACTAAAGGGTTAGGAGGAGTCCGCACTTTCAGGTAAATGCACTCAATGCAGCACCACAGGGTTAGCATGCGGCCCGGGCGGCGGGTTGAATACCCCTCGCTCGGAAGGGGGTTAGATTTGAACCGCCCTGAGATCTTGGAAACTAAGGTAGCTGGAGACAGCAAATTTACCGCGTGGGTTGGCCTGTATGTGAGCTAAATTGTGCTGCCAGATTTGAGGCTCCTAGATTTTGAGTCAAATAAGGTCAAATAAGTTCAAACTCCAGATTGGAGTCGAAAGTGCCCTCAGACCTCCTCGTGCAACCACCGTGTACATGGATTTTCGTTATAAGCAAAAGGTTAATGATGTTCATTTAAGGTCAATGATTTTTTTCACCTCAAAAAGGTCAAAGTGACCAAAAACCTACGAGATTGGTTTTATTTTTCCATACAAAGAAGCACCAGGGATTACGTCAGGCGATATGTTCCAAAAATCAACATGTTGGACTGGGTCATTTTAGGTCACTGGCCTACTTTGGCATCTGAAAAGTTCGTGGAACATCTATTGCGCTGCCTGTTATTGATGAATTCGAAATTGACACCAAAAACGACCCTGTAAAGCAAGCCCTCGAGTAAAAACGCCGGTTAGTTTTAAGCGCAATCTAACCTTCATACGTGACCCAGCTCAGCGGAATTTGTTTTAATTCTAAATGCAATTGGCTTTTGCCTAAGAAACTATCTTAAAGGTGCATGGTTTCGTCTGACGCCCCGTTGTCACAACACATTTAACGGTTCCTTAGGAACTGCCCCCGATGACAGCCGAGGGCTTAACTTTGACCTACCATGCGTCAGCGGCCTCACAAGGTACATATATTTCTTATACCAAAAGAGCCGCTATTCATTCGCATACAGCTATGTAAAGTTTGGCGCGGCCACGCTACGTCGGTCAGAAATCATCCCGGAAAAACCTTCGGGGGTCAAATTGACCGCTCCCCACCTGAGCGCGTGTTAATGCTAAACTTCCAAGTGAAGCCTCAACGTGGCACCTGCCCCTGCCCCTTTTCCCCTTTCCCTGTATTCGTTCCAGTCCCTTTCGCCGCTCCTGCCCTTGCCCCTGTCCCTGTTTCTGGCTCTTTTTCTTTTATCTGCCTCTGTTTCCACAGCCATGCATGTGCCGTCAAACGTTTCGAGTCCAACCGCAGTTTGAAGTGGGTATGACCGTGGACGTCTTGGTCCCGATCTGTTGTACTACAAGCTGCCACTGACCACATACGGCAGTATGCTTTGGTCTTGACGCGCCATATTGCTAAAGATGTGCATTTTCGGCGACATCCTTTGTTGCTCTTATCAGCTGAGGAGTTCGTGATAACATCGCATGACATTCAGAACAGCTTAAGCATACTGCTTAGACTGGTGCCAGCGCCAGTCCGAGCAGTGCAGCTGCGAAGTAACACGCCGTGCCGTCTTCCTGCTGTAATCAACCCAGCCTGGTCGTTTATGCTCAGATCCAGATGGCTACTTCCCCGGTGCGGCGAACCGTGCGGAAAATCCCGGCTTTCGGGTGATGAAATGTCGGCTGCCATGCAAACGGTGCTTCCAGCGTATAAACACTGACTGGCAAATCTGACTTGGAATTTAACAGGGAGCTGTTTGAACTCTGCAAGCTGAGGACAGCACGGTGGTACGATAAAGATGATGGCGACCGGGGCTGGAAAAGAAACAGTAACCTAAGGCGAATCATGAAGTTCGTGAGTCGCGATCATTCGAGCGATCCGGTTCCTACAATGCCTGGTCCCTCTCGCTACAGCTTCATAAAGCATCTTAGCAATGCGAGCAAAGAGATGCCATTGACATCACTGTCTACCGAACAACAGAGCAATGTTGCGTCTGTCATTCATTTGTCATGGGGCTAAGGTGATTTTTCAGGATATTTGTCATGGGGCTAAGGTGATTTCTCAAGACATTTGTCATGGGGCTAAGGTGATTTCTCAAGACATTTCATCTCTCCGAAGCCTCCGCCGGCGCAGCTGTGATGTACGACCTCTCGGATATCCGGTACGTCTGACCGGTGACGTCATCCCCTTCCACAGCGGCTTCCTCTTCACGTCGCCCAAGCAACTAAAGGCGGGCACCAGCGAACGCGTCTGCGTCACGCTCTTCAACCTGCCCGGGCCGGGGCGGAACGTGACCCTCAGTCTCTCACTCTGGGCCGGGGCATCCCCCTGGACTAGGCTGGTGGAGCTGATACCAGACACGGTGGACGGTGAGATCCAAAAGGCCACAAACAGCGGGTGTTTGAATACGAGCCAGAAGAGAATGCCTGTCATTAATCTGGCGTTTGTGACGCGCGTAGGACATCACCGCATCGTTAAAAGGTTGTCGTTCTAATTATTTGCTGTTATGTTCGCGAGCGACAGCTCAGCACCGCAGATTCCTGGACACATAATATTCTGGACTGCTTTGCTACGATTGCCGTGTGTCGGAGCCCGCCTGATTAACCTTACCCCTATGTGTGTGTCTAGACTGTCTCTTTCTACTGCCACCCTGAGTGACTGTTGCTATTGTATCATTACTATCCTGATTGCCTGTTATCAACTGACACTGACGATCTGATTGGTTTAGTTGCCGTCGGTCATTCTGATTGGCTGTCGCACTGACTCCGCTGTTCGCTTCAGCTGATGGCGATCACTGTTTTGACCTGGACGTGCCGCGCTCGGTGACCAACTCCCGGGGCCATCTGGACCTCAGCATTGCCAACGCCGCCGGACTGCGCTTCTCAGACGAATCCTGGGTTTGTACCCCAGATAATGCAACTAATGCACGAGTGGGTTTGGGCAATTTCGGCGTCCTTTTTACTGGTATCCATGTTTCGGGAATCGTAGAACATGTTGCTGATTTCATAATATTTTATGTAGGTAACGTGAAATCGCATTGATAAAAAAGACCGTATGCTTCGTAATCTATGCTTATAAAGTGATACATTTTCAAGCCTGCTCGTCCCTGATAAGTGCTATTTTGGCAGTGGCCGACCACAGCATCGGGCGTGTCCAGCAATAATCACAGAAGTACTGGTCGGCTGCGTCCGATGATTTCAAGTCTTTTGCGTGAAGCAGGCTTAATATTCTTAAACACTGTAGCACAAGCCGGGTGCTACCTAGCACAGACGTGTAGTCTTCAGAACCCGCTTAGGAAGACCGAACCAAGTGGGAAGACGTTAGTTAACCCTTGCTCTGATCCCCTTCTTGTAACGCAAACTGAGAGGAGGGGGGGGGGGGGGTGATGTGACCTTCTGCCGGTTCAAACTAAGAATGATAGGAAACCCATTGATTCGTCTCAGTGAGGTCTGGCGAGTTGTAGCTGAATATTATGCTGCTGGGTCAGTAATTGGCCGCATTTTGCCAGGTCAAACGATAATAGCGATATAGTTTCAATTTTTGGCGCGCTCGCGGAGCTGCAAAGACTATCCAGATCCTGGTGAATCACTGGGACTACTCCGTTGCCATGAGGCGAGGCCGCGCTGGCAAAAATATTCCGCCGGCTAAGCGGTGTGTTTAAATGCAGATCATGACCGTCAAGCCGCGGCAGCGGGTGATGTTTTGCGCAGCGTCAGCCGGCGGTGATTGCTCCTCAGTGTTATTATCTCCTCGATGAGTCCAGGGAGGATGAGCTCGAACTATGAACCGGTCACCCACCCTCACATGCGCATCAACCAGCTGCGGCACCGAGGCGTCATCGAGCGGACAGACGGTCAGAGCTGTGCTCAACTGACCGGGCTCATATCACGGACACGGAGCGGAGATACGCAACTCGTAAAAACTGTGTTCGAGCTGTGCCCAACTGACTGGGCTCATACCACGGACACGGAGCAGAGATACACAACTCGTAAAAAACACTGCGCTTATACCTTGTCGGCATCAACCAACATGTGAGTCCATATGTACTGAAGACCTGGAAATGTGTCGTGCTCCTGGTGTTTCCCCTGACACCGGCTTTCCAAGCACTCAGCGTTGGTCGGTATTGCCTGGTTACAGCAAATAAGTCGATGACCGGTCGGATTAAAGCTCTGTTCAAGTTAAGGAGGGTGCGCCTATCGGCTCTTAAGGTCATACGAGAAATCACTTTCATGAGGTTTATGCGCCTAGGACACTTAAGATTTATCATCTTCAAGTGTGGCTTGAATGAGAGCCGACGGTCAAATGTGAGGCCCAGGAAACTGGTCTCATTACATACCGGAATAACAACAATATACGGTCGTAACTCTGGGTCTCTACATTCCCGGCTCCTTGATCAGAAGTCCATGCACTTGGTTTTGGTTGTTCAAGCATTTAAAACCATACCAAAATGGTGTTGTCGACAAGTGTGGATGTCACCTTTGAAAGAGAGGTTGCAGTGTCGTCCTCGGTCGTCTGTATTATGGTCTGGCACTCGTCGGCTACTTCTGCTTATTAGCTGGTGGTAGGTTCCCGTAGGGGGACCCACTGCCTGGATGTCCAGCATTTATTCCAACCCATACTGGAAAATGATCACTCTCACATGTGGTGCTCCTAATGGCCAAAAACAATCGTAAGAGAAGGGACGAGGAGCAGACAGAAAGATGTATAGCTGAAGTGGTGCTGGATGGGTATATGGGTATATGGGACGGGTATATGGGTATAAGTGGTGTTGAAGAGATATATGGGTATGCAGGCGGGTGCCGTTTTGTGCATTGTGAACCGGGTAAGCTCTTTATGTTCCTGGGCTCAAATGCGAGGTGCAACTGAGTCAGGAGAAAATCCTGTGCGTGGTGAATGTTGGGACAACGAGGGTAAATGTGCCGTCCAAAGGTAAAACTCCATATGCTCATCTCTGGCCATTTTGCGTTTTTTATGTCATCTGACTCGTCTTCTTATGCTGAATTCAGATATTTAAACCAATAGTTGTAATTTGCACAACCTCGTAGCTAAAAGAACTGGCTAAAAGCTTATGAAAATTTGAACTCAGGGCTTAAGTCACCAAATTCGGCATGAGTAGATAACATAAAAATAATCAGATATAATAATATAATAATATAATAAAATAATATAATAAAAATAATCAGAAATAATATAATAAAAATAATCAGATATAATATAATAAAAATAATATAATGAAAATAAGCAGATAATAAATAATATAATACAAAAATAAAAATAATAAATAATATAATAAAAATAATTAGATGACATAAAAAAACGCAAAACCGGCAAAAATTAGCATATGGGGTTTTAACTTTGGATGGCAGAAATGTGATCGCTCCGCGTAAAACACCCGCAGTCTTCATGACTGTCGCTCGTGAGAACGCGAAGACAAAACAAATTTGGGGCGAAACCAAATTTCTATTTTTTTACGGCGCAGTTGTCCGTCCAAATACTCCATCCAACCACTAACTACTGTTGGGGACAAAGGTCGAGTCATCGACAGCTTTTCTTTTATGCTATTCGGACCCTTTCCAAGTATTAAAAAATGTTTTGGATTTTATTGGGTCATTTGAAACCATCCACATTAAAAAATTACGCGCATGGCTACCCCTTTGCCAGTTCAACTTCACACGATACGTCCCTCTGTTGTTATTGATCATTTCAATGTGGAGCAATAGCACGTGGTGTCTGAATGTGATTGTGCGGGGCGTGGCTAATCAGATTTTGAATCGTTCCTCACCGAAATAAACTGCATGTACCCTCCACAGAGCCATTAGTTTTTTTTGTAAAGGTCTGGTTTGTGGAGGCGATTTCATCAACCGTTTTATGAGGTCATTCGCTTGCAAATACAGATAATGGCCAGACATCGACATTGCAACCTGTATTAGTCACCGCCGAACAACGTTTCGTTCCGAAAATACTTCCGGAAACGATACTACCAATTTTACGGCAGTCTACCTACTCGGCGCACATGAGCTTACATTGTCCTGTTTTCCCGTCTTTCAGGTGGGAATCAAGCCATTCACGCTGCTGACACTGATTCAAACGGACAAGCCCAGGTACCGTCCAGGCGACAAAGTCCTGATTCGCGTCATATCTCTGCGATATGATCTCACTCCGCTTATCGAAAACGTGAGTTGCTGATCCTTGAAAGGACACATTGCCGAATGCAATGAGGAGGAGTTTATTTAGAATAGGCTTTTAGCATGTCCAGTGATGGTTGCTAAATAGCTGCGATAATCATTAAGAAATGTGCGCGGGTGGTGAAGCAGGCCCGCCTATGTCCTCAGCAGATTTGTTCAGTAGTGACGGATGCGGATGAAACAGAGCTATTCTAGAATTTTCTTCAGGTTCCGATGCGCTTTTGGGCTGCTCTTATGCTGAAAAGGAACTCATCCGCAGCGCTGTATAATTCAGTGCAAGCCATGTGCCGGATGTTTGTATCTTTCAACTGGCCATCGCCCCTCAGATTCCGGAGGTGTGGGTGACCACCCCAGACAACATTCGCGTTGCCCAGTGGAGTGACATCAAGACCAGCGGAGGCCTGATCCAGCTGGAGGTGCAGCTGACCGAGGAGCCGCCACTGGTGAGATCACATAAAAGCCATGATCCCGCGCTGATGCAGTCATTCTCTCCCCCCCCCCCCCCCCCCCCCCCTGTCTGTTCCCTCCAATTAGTGAGATCCTACAACAGTAGAGGAGCCGCCCCTGCCGACATTCTCCTTCCCCTGGCCGTTCTCTCCACTCAGTGAGATCCTGCAACAGCAGAGGCCCCGCCCCTGCTGAGATCACAGGAACGTCGAAAATCAGCTGTGGTGCAGCCATTCCCATCCCTCTCCTCCCCTCGGTAAAATCACGATCTGGCCAAGCAATCATCCGAGGTGAAATCATTCCCCTCTCTTTCCGTCCGGTAAAATCATGCTCTGGCCAAGAAATTGTTGGAGGTGAAATCACATCTCCTGCTCTCTCCCGATGTAAAAATCATACTCTGGTCAAGGAATCCTCCGTGGCGAAATATTCCCCATTTCCCTTCCTCCGCTAAAATTACGCTCTTGCCAAGCAACCGTCGGAGGTGGAATCATTCTCCTCTCCCTCCTGCCGGTCAAATCACGCTCTGGCCAAGGAATCGTCTGTGGTGAAGTCAATCAGCTACATGATGTCGACCTGCTAAGTTGCAGAGGTTCACCACTCGAAGAGGAAGCGTCACCAAGACCATAAAAGCTGTTTGCATACACCCGAGCGCTGCTGAAAGCGTTCCGGTAATCTCTGCAATTAACTTTCAGGGCAGATGGACCATCCACGCGAGGACAAAACGCCGGTCCGAAACACATGGTTTCGACGTGGAGGAGTATGTGCTGCCCACATTCGAGGTCAAGGTCAAAAGCCCAACCTATCTGCTTGAGGGAGAGAAGACAATCACCGTCGACGTCTGCGCCAAGTAAGCCTTGATTGGCGGAGACTCGGTCTTTGGCTGATGACGTATCCACGTAAAGCGAGGCTAGATGTGTGGAGAGCATTACTCTGCCCTGTTGGGCCCGAGTTGCCATTCACTGTGCACCACGAGCTGCAAGGTCGCATGATCAAACGCAATGTCTGGGTCGTGCAGTCTGTCAGCTTAGTGGTTCAGGGTCGCGTCCATCACTGACTTAAATATTGACGGAAGGATTGAAGTCCTCCCCGTACTGGAGGGGGAGGGGGGCCGGCGGGGGATGACAAGTTTATGTCCATTAAGTGCCCGTGGAACTAGCGCCAATTTTTTAAAAGTTGAGAAGCTCAGTGCCCTGGTCCTTATAGCTTATGCTCTGCTGAGTGTGAAAAAGTGGGAGACCAGCGCGAAAAAGTCACGAGAGAATATAACACGTAATGAAAGTCGCATACCAGAAAGGCAAACCTTGTAAAGAGGAAAGTGGACCTGTCCCCTCACTCGTTTTCTTTGCTCCTGGTAGTGCTGAACCGAAGACATTTTCAAAATATGTTTCTGGGCGTAGGCCTACTGTATGTCGGGCCATGGCAGCCGTAGCTGATACAGTTGAAGGTCAACCAAGTCCACCATTGGAACGTTGCTGTCTGTCGTTGATCACTCACGGGAAGTTCAATATAAAAAGGCAGGGACGAGTTTTTGCGACAAACAGCAACAAACAGGTCATGACAGCAACAAACGAGGCAGCACATGAAGTAACGCAGTTCTGTGTCACGGTTGTTCAGACATTGAGTTAAACGTGATTTAACTGCACCAAGCGCAATGACATGTAGCATACGATAATCGCGGTGCGTCGATGATGCTGATTTGCCATGACAAATCCCTCAGATATGGCGAAGTCTTCCCATTTTTAGAATATTTGTTGACCTTGATAAAACTGCTTTGACCTATGAATGTTTTTAGCTGGGGACAGATTACTGGGCTCATGTTTCCATGCCATTAAATAAGACGAAAAAATAGCCGTCGACTTTTGGTTGCCATGGTGCTTAAAAGAACAGAAGCCTATGACAAACTTGCTACCGCCTCCCATCGCTCGTGTTGATTTATACGCCCGCGCTTCACTGCGGCCCGATGCGCCGTTTCAACGGAAGTCGAGCCGCCGTGTCATATGGACGATGGGAGGTAATTGGCAGTTTGTTTGTTTGGGCCGCTCCGAACACAACCTTTGGCGTCCGGCCTGTTCCGTTCTGTTCGGATGCGTGACATTTTCTTGAGACGCCGCGTCTTCGCCGGATGCTTCGCTGGGCGGCTGTTTCGCCCATCGTTGCAGCGAGAGTCTGTAGGTTGGTTGTGTGGGTCCTGGTCTAGACCCCATCAGCCCAGCAGGTCAATCCTGGTCCAACGGCATTATCTATTTTTCATTATTAAACTATATAGTGAAATAATTATACAATTATATGATTACAGTTATATACTATTATTTAATTATATACTATGCCATTGAATATTTATCATTACTATACTATGTAAACTCGGCCAGCATTATTAATCGGATGATGTGGGCGAAAGTCTAAGCGTTTTCACAATGAATTGATGCGATGAAAAGCTCTCAAATAATTAACATGCTTTTACTCAATGGAAATTGGCTTCTATTTTTTCAAATAGTATAAGCTTCCTTAAAAAAACATTTCATTAACTTTTAAAACTTAAGATGCCGGAAACTTTGTGAAAATGCTCAAAATATATTTCAAAATGGTTTAAAACTAGACGCTATGAGGGCAATCGCTCCCGACGGCGGAGGATTTTCGTGGAGAACACTTTTGCTCCGAGCCTTATAAAACCAGAAGGAGGAAGTTCTAAAAAAGGTCATCCGTTGGCGATATTTCTTTTTTATAAAACTGGCCTGTGATCATTTTTTTAATGCCTATTTCAAAAGTCGCGCAGCTGCTGCCCAATGCCATCGTGCCCGTGTCGTGGCCGGTGGCCATGAGAAATGCATGCTCAACATGAAACAGATTGTTTGAGCTGCAGCACGCTAATTGTAACACGCAAGTTTCTTATGCTCTAAGCGCACAATGGACACTGGGGTAACGAACGAATTCTCTTGCATCGATAACTTACAATTTGTGACAAATGTAAGACATATGAGCACGCACCCACCTTCCACCCGCTGCATTAGCATACAAGCTCGGAGCCTTCCACACACCATGCAGCTGGTCGTTTCCGCAGGTAGGTGTCACAGCGTCACAATTTCAAATTTGTCAGTGTGTTATAGTGAGCCACGTGGACTGATCATGGTTGGCGAATCTAGTGCATATCAAAAGAGGATATATAATGAGGACACGTGTAAGAAGCACACAATAGTGAGGACATACAATAAGATAACGAGGACATACAACAAGATAACGAGGACATGTCGTGGCATAACATGGACATACAACAATATAACGATGAAACTTTTGTGTCTCCTCTGACCTCATGTCACCCATTGATCCTGTGAACTCAAAGTGCCAAAATGTCCGGCCCTTTCAAAAACATACGTCAGCGTCGGTGAAGAAATGTGTCTAAATTGCGTAAAACTGGTTCTGTGCGTGTCTCCCCGCATCCCAATGCTTACGATGAAAGCACCATCGGGTGCCGACGAAGTGGTCTTCTGTTAGCAATGCAGTGACGCTGCGCCGTAGCACAGCAGCTAACCGTTCCTTACGGGCCGGGTAGACCTGGCCTTTGATCACGGCTATCACGATCACGCATCCGTGCAGCAGCGCGAAGTCTTGCAAACTAGAAATGCCACCAGCCATAGCTATAGCGCACGGGTCTGGAAGTCCAAATCACTCCTGGGGAAACTGGTTCGATTTGCAGACGGGCTTGCAAAATGTCTTTTGCAACCACGTGTTCCAATGCTCTGGCGAGGGCTGGCACCGGTTGTGCCGAATGACAGTACGGCTTGTCTCCGATGCTGCATGTTGTGAAATGTGGTACGGTTTGTCTCCAATCCTGCATGTTGTGAAATGTCGTTTTCGAATGGTTTCACAACGCAAGATCCCCGGCTTAAGACGTCACGAGGTGACGACCGCTGCCCTTGCGCACCTCAGGTACACCTTCGGCCAGCCACTGATCGGAGCCAGCGTGACGGTGAACGTCACGAAAGGGCGTGATCACGTCAGTGACACTCTCACGGTGAGTCGGTGGCAGACCAAGACCGTGACACTCCGGACAGTGTCAGTGACACCTTTACGTGGCATCAGAGTTGCGTTGGAATATGTGCTGGGATCTAATGCATACCAGCAGCAGAGCGGCAGATGCATTCTGCAACGTCATCCCATCCACAGGGTCTTTCGTGGATACACCATCAATGGTCAACGATGCTTATTGTTGCCGCCACCCAATGACATACAATCCCATTCTTCCCCACATGGCCAACACGTGGCCGTTGTAGTGGTCAGCATTGTGCGTATTAGTTGGCATAGTCGAGACGCGTTGCGGTGTTTCTGTTGTTACAGACGGACGAGACGGGCTGCGCCTCCTCAGATCTGATTGTGGATGAACTGCTGTCTGGCTTTAGGTTTGGCGTTGTAAGTAAATTCCAGACACTTGTGTTTCTCTGGGCCCGTGACAGTCAATGGACATGACCCCGGTAAAACTGCACGACCAATGGGTCATTAAAGAACAGTAGTGCGATATCCTTTCCTTAATTTTTAGGTCGCATTAGATGATTCCAGCGATGTCGTCTGTGTTGGCGTAGAATACCATTTGGTGCTTAACCAAGATCGTAATGAGTGTTACATAATGAAAAGGCTGTTATTGTCTGTGTGCTCATATTTCATCTTCTGGTTTTGTATGTGTTAGTTTCGGGCACGTGCTGAAAGGTAAGATGTTGCCTTGGAAATGAACAGACGATGGTTCCCATACCACGGAGAAAGTGCGAACTTACTCCAGCCCTAAACAAACAAACAGATTCTTGGACAACCCTTGAGCTGTTAGGTGTGGGCGGTAGGTACTGTAGATGTGACTGTGGCGATGCCTGTTGTGCTTCATTGTAGGTGCATTTTATACGCATCTAGGTAACGACGGGAATTCTCGGTTTTCTCCATACTAAATGTGTTCTTATGATAGTGATGCACACCTTTCATCCTTACACCCTTAAAACGTGTTGCCTTGTGACATTTATATATCTCCAGCAATTAAAAAAGGTTGCTCGAAATGTTAGAATCTCTCTCCTCTCTCTCTCTCTCCTCTTTCTTCTGTCTGTCGCTGTCTGTCTGTCTGTCTGCTGTCTGTCTGTCTGTCTGTCCTGTCTGTCGGTCTGTCTGTCTTGTCTGTTCTGTCGGTCTTCTCTGTCGTCCGTCCTGTCTGTCCTGTCTGTCGTCTGTCGTCGTCTTCTGTCCTTTCTGTCTGTCTGTCTGTCTGTCTGTCCTGTCTCTTTTCTTTCTTTCTTTCTTTCTTTCTTCTCTCTCTCTCTCTCTCTCTCTCTCTCTCTCTCTCTCTCTCTCTCTCTCTCTCTCTCTCTCTCTCTCTCTCTCTCTCTCTCTCTCTCTCTCTCTCTCTCTCTCTCTCTCTCTCTCTCTCTCTCTCTCTCTCTCTCTCCCTCTCTCTCTCTCTCCCTTTATTGGAACCATTTTCTTGCGGTCTTACATGTTCCATCTTAAGATGGGAAAGCAGGGCCATCGAGATAAAAGGGTAAATTCAGTCCCAGTGTCCCAGTGTGTCCCGTGCTGAGAAGGGCCATGTTGTTGCGTCCCCGTATGCTCGCCGTGGTCTTAACCGTCGCTTGGCGCCGCTCTATGGGAGAGAAATTTCCCGTGCGTTCAGCGTCCTTTGATAACCAGTCTCGGGCAATGCTCACGTGCATCACTGACAACTCACTGCGTTTCACCTTCCCTCTAAGAAGGCTGAATTAGCAGTGAGACTGATCAGAAATTTGATAGAATCTGGACGGCGTGGGTCTGTTTGGCCATACGTCGCTGGTCGCCCAGCAGCAGTCAGGGTGACTTTTCCTCTAGAGTGATCTGACATGCGCGGTCTGGCACGTCTCAAACGCAAATACCTTCACGGCTGTGTTGCTGTACCGAACATTCCGCTATTATCTGGGAAAACGTGGACACGAACGAGGAGTAATTTAGGCTGCAACGGTCGCAAAGTAAGTTCGGTGTTGCATTTGTTCGATGATTTCGTTGGAACGGGCAATGGCCAGATCAAATAAGCGTTGGATTAGACGATGGATTAAATTTTTTGGATTGGATTAGATCTAGATCGCGATCAATGTACGTTATTTATATGATACTGGAATATTTTGTCCTATGCGTTTAACAAGTTGCGTGTGATCTGCTCGGCTGTAGGCTACCATCAACGCCACTGTGGAGGAGTTTGGCACGGGTCTCAGCCAATCAGAGACGAGATCACTGCACAGAGGATCCTCCGGATCCGCCTCAGCCTCCGTTCCAGACAACACGCAGCTGTTCATCAAGCCCGGCCTGCCCTACTACGGCCGGGTGAGTTCGTGTTTGTGTGTTTGTGCGGAGCGCGCTGACGAAGAACAGGAGTCTTGCTGCCACGGCCTCGGTTGACTGGTGTTCATGGCTGGCTGGCGTCGTGTTGTTTGCGTGGGCGTGGTGCAGATGTTTGTCCTTGAAACGGCTGATGCTTAGTTCCTTAGACGAGCAGATATTTTGGTAGCCTGTTTGTTTGGTTCAGTATGGTCAGGACTCATGGGGCTTGTATTTCAGCGGCATATGCAGTGATCGTATATGCATATGTACATGACCTCAGGCAGTTTAGATTCAACTGAGTTGTCAAAGGAAGTAAGATTATCTGCAGGGTTTCTCCAGAAGATGAAATAGCTGTCTGTGTTTGAACGATCTGCAATAATACCGTGCGTAAAAACACCGTGCATTGCCCACTGCATGGGATATATAACATTCCCTCTGGTTGGAATAATGGCTTGGGGAGCACTTCGAAACTGTTTTATTCAATGCGCCATTTGGTATATACCTGGGCGTAACATGTCGGCACGTAACATCCATCCAGCTTTGCCACGATGAATCCGACGCGTTTCGCGCTGTTCCAGCTTCACATCAAAGACCGGAATGGTTCGCCGTTCGCCGAAAAGATCGTGGAGATCTGCTTCAAGGCCAAATACAAGGAGAGAGCTGCCATGTGAGTGCGATGCTCGCTACGTTCTCAGCATCCGGCTTGCAGACGTCAGTTTTAGATGCTGTACATCTGAAGCCTACGTTTGTACAGATGTAATATTTGTGATGAAACCGTTAAGCTTGTTCCTATTTTGCCTAGTGATTGGCATGCGGTTGGGTTTTACTTCTCTTTTAGTTTATATCGCGCTGCGTGTCTGATGCGAACACTGACAATTATTTGTTAAACATTGCTCCGCTCTATTCGCACTTGTTAGCGTAATATTAACTGAAAGATAGGCACACGTATTGCTTTCAGAATCATGAATGGGATTGAAATTGAACACGGTGCCATGGCACGGAACGACCGAACAATGACACCGACCGCCGAAACAGCCGCAGCGTCCCATGGGACGAGGGCACGGGCCATGGGGCGGAAACACGGAGTGATGCCACGGGTACACATACGGGCTATGGAGCGAGGCCACGGAATGACAGCGCGGACTCATGGGATGAAAGCACGGAACCACTGAACAATGACATGGGACTACGAGGCCGTGGCACGGGACCATGAGGCTATGGCACAGGAACATGTAACCATTACACGGGAACATGGCACGGGACCGCCAGGACTATGGCACGGGCCCACGGGACCATGGTACGGGACCACGGGACCATGGTACACATAGAACGATGACATGGGACCACGGGTCCGCGGGCCATGGACAGGAGAACGAAACTATGGCATGGAAGCACGGACCATGGCACGGCACCAAGGGGTCGGGCCGCTTCAACATGGCCATTCATGATGTGCTTCACCTCTTTTTCCACGGAACCAAACACCGAACATCCTCACGCAGATATATAGGACATTGTCCGTGTGTTTCACGCTACATGACATTCCATTTCAGACCGAGCGGGGAGGACCCCACGAAGACCCCAGACGATGACCTGTTTGACGCCTATAAAAAGGTGTGGCCGCTCGAAAAAGTGCTGTGTGCCTGTTGAGGATACGGAGGTGTTGTTTTGCCTTTTATTGCGGTAGACGATGCATGCTGTCAAATGATGCTTTTCTCCCCAGCGCTCTCAGTTGCAATTTAGATACACATGACTGTGGGAGCTCTTCAGTTCAGATGCCGACTGATTAGACTGATTTAAACATCCCAGACCCACCCTTCACTGTCCTTCCCTAAGCTGATGTGACCTGACCCAGTCTACATTGACCTTATTACATCTGTCTTAGTCAGCTGCTCTGCATGTCCCTGACAGCACCTCATGTCCTCCTCACCTACGCTCGCCAGTTGTATTATCTTGCCCTGACCTACACCACCACGCCGTGTTCTGCTCGCAACCAACTCGGCTTTGTCCTGCCCTACTCCGAAATTCCCTCCGTTGCCTTACTCAGCCTCGGCCAGACCTGGCCTGCACTTCATCCTTTACCTTCCTTGGTGTTTTCTGCCCTGCACTCCCCCCCCCCCGACCCTGACGCGTCCTAGTGTGCCTGATTTGACCTGACCTGCTTAGGACCCTGACGCGGCTCAACCCCATCTTGCCCTCTTTCACACACTGTCCTGTCCTGCTCTGTTCTGGTCTGCGTTTCGATGTGTCACGATGCTGCTGTGCACTCGCTGTTCTTGCTTGACACGCCCTGCCCTTACCTGAACTAACTTGACTTGGCCCAACATGACGTGAACTGAATTGACCCACCTTGCCAAGACCTGACTGGGCCTGACCTGCCCTGCCGAGCAGCACTCGGAGCGCGTGCAGGCCGAGTTCGGCTACACGCCGCTGATCTGGGAGACGGAGGATCCGGAGCGGCTCTCGACGGCCGAACAGTGCCGCTTCTTCACCGCCGACAGCCAGGGCCGCGTCGTCTACTTCATCCCGCCTCAAGCACCGATCGTGGACAGTGTCGACGTCAGGGTCAGTCAAGTGTGACGTCATACCCATCGTGGCTGTCTCATGTCACCGTGGGACGTCACGGTCGGCATGATATGTCACGGTCAGTACGTGACTTTGGGGTGCCATGTTAGCGTCACTAGAGTGACATGCTTGTGATGGTGTCATGGCGCGTGTGTGATGTCAGAACCAGTCTGTTAGGGCCGGAAGCAGCTTCATGACGTCATGACCGGTGGCTTCCATCAGGGTCAGTGCGTTGCTGCGGGGGTTCATGGTTTTGTCACGGCGCGTTAGAGTGGTGACGTCAGAGTGGTGACGTCAGCATCAAGCCTATCGCGGTGACGACATGGTCGCTCCTGCAATGTCCACGTCAAGTAGGAGAGGTCAGAGAGGGGATGACCGAACAACAGGATTAGGCTGGTGATGTCCGATACATTGTGTGAAGTCGGTGACAGTGAGTGGCCCCAGGGTCGATCTGGAGACCGCCAGCTGGTGTGGTACGTCAGCGTCAGCACGCTGACGTCAGAATCACCATGGTGACGTCACGGTACGAATGAATTGTCAAGGGCGCTGTATGTTGCCGCCAGTGTGTGATCATAGTCAGCGTTGGGATGTCAAGGTGTTCGCGTTATCGGTGTGACGGTGCCATGGTTAGTCTGATGGTGTTCGAGGTCTGTGTGTGACCGTTCGCAGGCGGGCTGATGGTATTTTGTTGACGTCAAAACCACTGTGGTGGTGTCAGAGTCAGTGTGGTGATGTCAAAGTCAATGTTTCCGTCCGATTCAGTGTGGCGATGTCAAAGTCAATGTTTCCGTCCGAGTCAATGTGGTGACGTCAGAGCCATTGTATGGACGTCTGGATAAGTATGTAAGATTAGGTATAAAGGTAGGTTTTGTATTATTTTCAGTGACGTCGGGTTTGTTGCATACTGTCGTAGCTAGAAGTATGACGCCAGCGTTGGTGTGATGATGCCAGGGCCCGTAGGGTAACTTCCATTTCTCTTTGATGATGCCCGTTAGCTACGCGTCACGACTTAGCTTAACCGGGACGCAGTGCGCGTGACGTCACGGAACAGTGAGTGGTAACAATGGCGCGTGGTGCGTCCGCCAGCTGACCTCAGGGTACGGTGGCAGAAGCCTGCGCCGGAAACTCGTGACCTTTTTCTCCCCCTCCAACTCCTACCTCACCATTGACGTCCACCTGCTGCCCGACGAGCTGCCATGCCGGGGCAACATCACCGTCCAGCTGCTGACGTCACTGGAGAAGGACGTGCCGCCAATGGTGTACCAGGTACGACCCTGACGTCATGGGCATTCGTTACGATGCACCGAGCAAAAAGCCTCTCAAACACGAAACGTCTTAAATAAGGGGACTTCCCCTATAAGACTGCCTTCGCTGACGCAGAAACCAGTTCCCATGCCCAATAGCCTAATACCCAGTCATAATCTTCCCACAGTCTTGTTGCATACGTTACGCAAGTGACAATGCCTTGAAGTGTACGCACTTCCTGTGTAACTTGCTTAAAACGAGTCAGGGACCGTGGTTACGCGACGTCATCTTCACCACCCCCGTGTTGGGCAGGTGATGTCGCGCAGCGAGATCCTGCGATCAGGCCGGGTGTCCAGCTCGAGCCTGACACTATCGATGACGCCGGCCATGAGCCCGCAGTTCAAGCTGCTGGTGTTCTTCGTGCTGGACTCGGGCGAGGTGGTGAGCGACGCGGTCGTCCTCAAGGTGGAGCAGTGCTTCAACAACCAGGTGCGACAGCGTGCTGATGCAGGTTCACTGAAAACGAGCGAAATATGAGATGCAATAATTGTGTCGAAGGGCTGGCTATATTCCAACACTCCAGTCTTCTGAAAGGGTTGAGCAACGAGGCTTATAACTTCGCATAACTTTAATGCCACCACCTGCAGGTCGAAGCTTCAGTAGTTCCAAATGTCTACAGATGAGATGAACTCAAGTCTTGTAAACGACAGTTATGGTGGGTGACATGTGCGTCTCGTCATGGTGTCCCACACGTCCATGCGACTGTGCTTCGGTCATCAAGATGTCCTTGGATCCAGCCCGGGAAAAGGCACGTGATAGCCCAAATTTCACCTTAAGTCACGAACAATGTGACTCTAAAAGTTTAATAAAACGCCATCGATCGCTTCTGCCGTTGTTGGAGGCTGTTCTTGGTTTAATTGTTTATTTATTTCGATGCATTACTTAGTCGACAGCCTTCAGCGCTTCTAGTGGAGTACCAATGAAGCTAAACTGCGGACCGCGGAGGGAGTTGAACCCGGGCATCTCTATTCAAAGCCACCGTGTGGTCTATACGGGCACTTACATCCTGCTGTTGTCAGGTGGATGTCAGCTGGGATAAGGAGACGGCCCGGCCCGGGGAGTCCGCCTCCTTCACTGTCAGCGCCTCGCCAAACTCCGTGTGTGGCGTCAGTGAGTACCCCTCCCGCGTGCCACGTGTTGTCGTGCTTGGTCGTGTCGGTCGCCGACCTCTCGCCAGTATCAGCTGTGTCAGGCGTGCACGAGGCAGAAATGTCCGCAGGTCCTGCTGGCGGGCAGCCAGCTGTTGCCCAGTGGAGCTGCGTGTTGCGCTGTTCACTCCGTGATGAATATATTGTTTTGGATCGCCCCGCCTGACGCATGATGACCAATTTTGTCTCCAGGGGTGAAAAATAATTTCCGTCACCGACAAAATTTTGGACCGCCCTAAATCGTCACCTGTAGCCAAATCTTTCAGAAACCGTGGCAATATACCTACATGCAATAAACTACAAAAACAAAGATAAAAGACAAAAGGGCAAATGTTTCCTATGTTTGTGACGTCATCGTATAATCAGCTCGGAACGTTGGCGGCCTTCGCTATCGTTGCATAATTGTTGCCGATGCAGAACTCGCATTTCCTAACATTATCCCGATTATTTAGAGCAAAACCCGTGCAATAATGGCATCAATAGATGCACACGACAGTCTTGAACACCTCCAGCACCTGCATTTATCTTTATATGCAATATGATGACAATTAAAAACGTTTTATTTCGCGCCTGTCCACCGATCAGTACGATGTCAAAGGGGCAACAGGCAGTGTGAGAGGCCTACACCAGTGATGCTCAGCCCCTCACCTCAAAGCTGCTGCTCCTTTCAGCAGCAGGAAGCCCAAAATAAATATCTGACACGTGTTGCTCCAGCTTCCTCCCTTTACCTATGAAGCTACAGCTCAAGTATCCACAAACAACAATCCTCTCAAATCGGCAGGGCGTTTTTTAATCTGTTACGTACAAAACTGACGATTAGCGATGTTTTTCTGTCAGTCAGCTCCTCACGACATGAACACAACCAACAAAAGCCCACCGCCTTGCACCAAACCTGACGCGTTACCCCAGCACTCGAGCCTATCTGTTCCAAATGGCACGACGCTTTAAAACGCTGCTACCAAATCCCATCTGTCGCGATAACGTTCGTCGCAAGATGCTGTTGCCAGTCACGACCCTCACAACTAGTAACAAGCCTAGTTATTTGGTGTTTTATGCTGTTTAGTAAGTGAAATGAATCTTGGCCGAAAAATCTGTGAAAAACACTGATCTGAGGGGTCTTGGAAAAGCATCGTGTTATCACTGATCGTTGACGTTTGCACTGATGTGACGTAGTTTGTAATGTGTTTCTGTCACCTACTATTACTTTTCTGAATAAAGCTATTATGTTTGGCAGCATCTTATGGCTCAACTTGCACATATAGCGAAAACATCAACGTTTTGATACCTGCACTACACATGCTCACGCTGCAAGCGCTATCGAGTACAGACCGATACAATAGCTTTGAGTTTCGTCGAGCTGGTAAGGTCTGTTGTAACATGGTCTGGTCTGTTGAAGTTCGTTTTAATTTTCGCAATTTTGCCGCCAACTCACTTAAAAAGGGTCAGTTTTTTTTGTCCTCGATGATGCCCGGTAGATCGGAAGCTTTTTCACCGCCGGTTGTTTCTTCCCATCTCTTCAGCGGTAGTATGTGCCGAGTGTTCGCCATATGGCACTGGCCTCCAAGACTGACTGAGAAACATAGCGCAATCCCTAGATGTTTGCAAGCAACTTCAGTAGACAGCCACTGACTCTCGCGATGTGGCTTGTTGCTTTCAGCAACGCACAACGTCTGTAAACTATACCATGCAAGCTCTGATATATTTGTTGGCGCTGTCAACCCCTTAAGTAATCCGATTGTCATTGGTTGTTGGAAAACGACCGAGTAAAGATGTCTTAGCGTGAGCGGAATCCTATATATATATATATATATATAAAGTGTTTCTATCATGCTATCGGGGCTATGATTACCTGTCCGCACACGCCGTGTTGCAGTGTTCCTAAAACATTCGTTTCTCACACGCGGGTGCATGGGTCGAAGGACCGATATGGAAGTTAGACAAGAGGTCACACCAGCTTCATTCTAAAATTACGTTATACCGACGCCTTCACACAAAGCTGCTCATCCAGACCATTCCACCACATCTGCTGCACTCAGCATTTTCCCGTTGTGCTCATCTGCCGTGTACCGCGTCGGAGCACGATGTAGCACGACTGATGGTGTGCTTCCGCCGATCGAGCGCTGACGGATGTTTTCCCGTCGACCGAGCACGACTGACAGTGTGCTCCCGTCTGCAGGCGCCGTGGACCGGAGCACAGAGCTGCTAGGCACCGGTAACCAAATCACCGTGGAGGGCGTGTTCAGCCAGTTGAGGCAATTCATCTCGCGGGGCTATCACACTCCCGTCCAGGTCATCTGCCGAGCGGGGAGGGAACGTGGTCGGCACTGTCGCTTTCGTCGGAGTGGTGCACATGGACTTCAGTGTTGACTGCTCCATGTCGCTAATAGCAAAGAACGGATTAAAACACTATCGATGCTCATCACCATTCGGCCTCCCTTGATAATGTGTACTTTTGCGATGGAGCAAAAGTGCCCAGTCTTGAGCGTGACCGCAAAACATCGCCTTGAAATATATACGTGCTTGTGTCACTCATCTCTTCCCGTAAAC